TTATAGAAACTATATTATATTATATAAACAAATATGGTTTTTAATTAGCAATTTTACAATTCTCAGAGATGTACACTTATGTATATGTATTATACTAAAGTTGCCTTATTTTTTCGCATCATTTAATGATGCGAGAAGAATCCTGCATCTTTATGAAGCATAAAGGATTCACCGTAATGCATTTATGGACTTACTCAGCGAAGGATCTCAATAATGCATTTACGGATGTACTCCGTATTTTTTACTGTTTATCTATTATTTGCCCGCCGAAACTAATAATAATTCGGCGAAAAAATAAACTGGTGAGTTCGCGCGATTCGAACTTGCGAGCTTACTTATTCGCGTCTTTGTGTGTTCATCGCTATAATCGTAAACGCGAATCGCGATTCTTTGCGTTTAACTATAACGATTATATTGTCAGTAGGATGGGTTAATTTACACGTACGAGATTTCACGCTTCGTGACATACAAATAGTTCTATTCAATGCTAGAAATATTTTATATCTCGATTCTCTTGATGTATGAAGGAGAATTTCCGATTCACATTAAAATACTCACAATCAGTATCAAGGCAAGATATTGACGAAGCACTGAAAGAAATGGATTTTTTGTTTTTATATCAGTATTATGGGTGACGTGTTTTAAATCGTCTAAAAAAAAATAGTTTTTTTTTTTTTTAGGGCGATACATTCTTTAAGGACATAGCAATCCTTAAAGAGTGTAAGATACGTATCCGAGTCATAAATTTCCAATCACCTCTCCCTATTATAATATTTTAATGCATATATTTTGATTTCTAAAATACGACAACTTTGTAATTTTTCTGACTTTTTTAGATCTCGTAATTTTACAGATATTCTGAAACATACATATATTTATCAAATATATAAGATAGAAAAATGGATATGGGTTTGATTAGAAACGCGTTAGAACATGTGTTTCATTTGAATTCGAATGTACTGAGTGTACATTAGAACGAATGGAACGACATGGGTTTTTTGTGGCATGATAAATATCAATTTACCGCCGATATCTTGTCTTCCTGCAAACCAAAGCTACCTTCATCGTTTCTACCTCAGTACACACAAGTCATTCCATATTTATTATACGCATATATTACAATAAAATTTCTTATTAAGCGCGAAAGAAGGATATTTATGGAACACGAAATAGTACATGATAATGCAGTACCTGTCCGCTATGTGATCGAATTTATAATAGAAAGCCAGTATAATATCAAGTATCTCAGAAAAAACTGCCAATTGCTAATGTATCTTATAAGATTATAAGGCAACTTAGCGCTACCCTAGACGCCATTTAAACGCGCATATCACTTTGTAGTTATTGTTATTGACATATACGAAGTGTCTTTTTTTATCGATTACAAAAAAAAATGCACTATAAGTACAATAATACAACAATAGTAAGTAAGTTACGTGTTATTACTAGGGTTTAATCAATTCTATCCCTTATCACTCTTTTATTGGTGTGGTATAATATATAAATATATATATA